TCCAAATGCTGTTTGCTCTGAATCCTCGTGTCCTGAACTAGGCTGCAGCCATTTTTAAGAAGCCAGACCCCCCTTCTCAGAAAGCTTTGCCCTGGAGGATGCAGCCCTGTGGGGCACAACCCCTCACTAGTTAAACCACAAGCCTGTCTGCAGCAGTTGCTTCAGGTGTCAGGGAAAGCATATCCTTCCTTGCCACCTACAAGCCATGTTAATCATGTAAGTCACTGGGCTGTTTAATACTTAGACGATTTTGTTTCTATGACTATTTCTAAGTAATAGCAATTAGCAATCAATATGTTGTATCAAAGATAGCATCTGCCTCTCCTATACAAACTGGGGGTTATGTGGATGGATATAGGTTGTCTTATTTCATAAGTAGTATCCCAGGTCTGGTGTGACCTGGGACTGATTTCCAGTGTGAGAACATTGCTTTTTATTTATGAAGAAATACTATTCTTGGGTAGGCAGCCATATTGTTTATGCTGCATGAAGCAAAATTCTAAATATACACCCAGTAACTGTACCTCTGTGGAACATTTTCCACTTAGAAATTTATATATGGGGCTTGATATTAAAATATTTCTAACCCAGTAAACCTCAAGCGATTTGCATGTCTGCATATGAACATGAAAGCACCTTCTGGCCCTCTTGGGAACTCTGACCCTGAGTGTGGCCATGGCCCTGTGAGGCATCCTCGCGTGCACCCAATCATGGTCTCCCCTCTCTTCCTATGTACTAGCTCCCAGTTGAAGATAAAATCAGAATCATTGCCCAGAAGATCTATGGGGCAGATGACATTGAATTGCTCCCGGAGGCCCAGCACAAAGCAGAAGTCTACACAAAGCAGGTAGCTGTTTGCTTGGTTTGTTCTCTCGGCTCCTCACCAAGCAGCCTTGGAGCTAGAATCTGAGCTCCCCTAGGCCTGCCAAGCGCCACTGCTTCACTTCTCTGGCAGTAGCCCTTTCTCCTCTGAAATACAGAGCTTGGGTTAGGCCGTCCAGTCCCAAGTTCTTTATCTACCCACAGGTGGTATCTGAGTGTGGGGAAAAGCCATGAGGAAATCCAGAATGTTCTACCCTAAAGTATTGAGAGCCTGCCTTCAGTTTATCTTCTGTCTACTCCAGACTTTCATTTTTAATTGGTTATGTACATGAAAATAAAATGTTCATTTCACTGTGTTTACTTACCTCTCTCACCAAACAGATTTTTTTTTTAATCAATGATAACCAAGCTGGAGGGCAGTGAGGTAGAGATGGATGTAAAGGGAGTTAGACGGTCAAATAAACTGAAAAATCCACATCCTCACAAGGCCAGATGTCCTTTGTTGCACTGTCAGCTCTTCATTTGTTCTGTTTGTGTTCCCTTCTTCCCCAGGGCTTCGGGAATCTGCCCATCTGCATGGCCAAAACACACTTGTCCTTGTCTCATAATCCAGAACAGAAAGGCGTGCCCACAGGCTTCGTCCTACCCATCCGTGATATCCGCGCCAGCGTCGGGGCTGGTTTTCTATACCCCTTGGTAGGATCGGTGAGTGCTGTCGGCAGAGACGGGTGCCTGTTACCTGTGCTTCTCATCTGAAGTTGATTCCTAAAGCCATCAAGCAGTGGCAGTTGAGCAGAGTTCATTGCTGAGGAGAAAGTGGAAGTCAGGCTGTTAAGATTAACCCTCTTGCTGTGGGACCATCTTGGTGTCAATTCAAGGAGGATGCCATGACTACTGAATAATAGTTCTGCTCCCCAGAGGCAGTATGACCTTGACTGAATCCAGGAGGGGCCTGATTGAGAGGCTGTGGTAGTGCTAAAGTATAATCACAACTGACATTTATTGGGCGCCTGCCACAGATGAACTCAGTCCTCCCACCAGCTCTGCTTGGTGGGGACAGAGGCTTTGCACCTTCTAGGTCTTCTGGACAGGTCAAGGGCTTAACACCTGAAATTCAGAGGATTCTGTATTTTTTTTTTTTGAGTAAAGAATTCCCCTCTTGCAATGTGATCAAATCCTATGGATGTGAAAGGTGAAGTTGCTTATTTATACTTTAAGATGAATTAACAAATGCATTCTTAAGGGTTTTATGCATATTACAGGAGGAATCGCTGACAGGTAGAGGAGTGCTTATGGACATAATCACAGTTTGGATTAACTTTGTCCTAGAACTGATAGTGAACCTGGGCTTTCACTCCCTCCCCGTTCTGACTCCTTTCTTCCCCCTGGGTTTTGGGGTGGGGGAGCATTCAGGTCCCGCCTGGCCGCGGCTTGTATCTTACCCCCTTTGTGTGCTGCTGAGTTCTCATAGATGTAGATGTATCCTGGCTGTTGCACTGCATCCACTGGTGTCTCTTTTAGGAATAGTTGTATTTATTGTATTTTCATAAATATATATGTTTTGGGGAGATTTCCTCTGAACTACTCATGCTGCCATCTTCCTGTGATCCTCCCTTGTGGCTTGGTTTTTAAAACATTATCATAGGCTTTCTGAAAGAGTTGTAAAAAGGTGGAAAGAAGAAACCCTACTATTCATGAATTTTGACATTCTCTTGTTTCACTTTGCCCCTTACAGATGTAATACTTGACAGTTCATTAACATTTGCCTTTTGACATTGACATTTCCCTGTTCAGTTTAGTTATAGATGGTTTGAAAATCTGTTCAACCAATCATATTTTTAGGAAATACCATAAACATAAATTTTTACACAAATGCAAAGAAAACATTTATATTTTTTCTAAGTCCCCTTCTACAGTGTCTAATTGAAGAACCCAGTCCTTGAAGGCCTGCAGGAGTCCTGGAAGAAGTAGAGTCATGAGAACTTTATAACCCATTTCTACTTGGAACTTTTCTCTGTTCTAACTAACAGGAGTCTGCCACTTTTTTTCTTATTCAGCATCTGTTGGTCTTAAATCACCCCTCAACAAAAGTACTTTTGCTTCAGAAGTTCTGAATGTGCCTTAGCATTTATAGAGCTTCAGTTATAAGATGCATCTGAAAATAATCTCTGTTGTGTCTTTATAAAACCATGATTGAATAGTGACTTTGTGTCCACTATACAAAGCCTCTTCATAGACTATTACTGTTTAGTTCAAAAGGGATTTTTTTATTTTTAGAGATTATCATTCCTTTCAAAAAACAAAATTTGCCCAATATATTCTCTTAAGCCTTAGTTGCTAGGGAGTGGAGAGTCAGATATGTTCCCTAGTTTTAGTAATTTGCTCATCCAAGTAGTTTTCCTTTAATCACGTTCTCCAAATGCTGTTTGCTCTGAATCCTCGTGTCCTGAACTAGGCTGCAGCCATTTTTAAGAAGCCAGACCCCCCTTCTCAGAAAGCTTTGCCCTGGAGGATGCAGCCCTGTGGGGCACAACCCCTCACTAGTTAAACCACAAGCCTGTCTGCAGCAGTTGCTTCAGGTGTCAGGGAAAGCATATCCTTCCTTGCCACCCACAAGCCATGTTAATCATGTAAGTCACTGGGCTGTTTAATACTTAGACGATTTTGTTTCTATGACTATTTCTAAGTAATAGCAATTAGCAATCAATATGTTGTATCAAAGATAGCATCTGCCTCTCCTATACAAACTGGGGGTTATGTGGATGGATATAGGTTGTCTTATTTCATAAGTAGTATCCCAGGTCTGGTGTGACCTGGGACTGATTTCCAGTGTGAGAACATTGCTTTTTATTTATGAAGAAATACTATTCTTGGGTAGGCAGCCATATTGTTTATGCTGCATGAAGCAAAATTCTAAATATACACCCAGTAACTGTACCTCTGTGGAACATTTTCCACTTAGAAATTTATATATGGGGCTTGATATTAAAATATTTCTAACCCAGTAAACCTCAAGCGATTTGCATGTCTGCATATGAACATGAAAGCACCTTCTGGCCCTCTTGGGAACTCTGACCCTGAGTGTGGCCATGGCCCTGTGAGGCATCCTCGCGTGCACCCAATCATGGTCTCCCCTCTCTTCCTATGTACTAGCTCCCAGTTGAAGATAAAATCAGAATCATTGCCCAGAAGATCTATGGGGCAGATGACATTGAATTGCTCCCGGAGGCCCAGCACAAAGCAGAAGTCTACACAAAGCAGGTAGCTGTTTGCTTGGTTTGTTCTCTCGGCTCCTCACCAAGCAGCCTTGGAGCTAGAATCTGAGCTCCCCTAGGCCTGCCAAGCGCCACTGCTTCACTTCTCTGGCAGTAGCCCTTTCTCCTCTGAAATACAGAGCTTGGGTTAGGCCGTCCAGTCCCAAGTTCTTTATCTACCCACAGGTGGTATCTGAGTGTGGGGAAAAGCCATGAGGAAATCCAGAATGTTCTACCCTAAAGTATTGAGAGCCTGCCTTCAGTTTATCTTCTGTCTACTCCAGACTTTCATTTTTAATTGGTTATGTACATGAAAATAAAATGTTCATTTCACTGTGTTTACTTACCTCTCTCACCAAACAGATTTTTTTTTTAATCAATGATAACCAAGCTGGAGGGCAGTGAGGTAGAGATGGATGTAAAGGGAGTTAGACGGTCAAATAAACTGAAAAATCCACATCCTCACAAGGCCAGATGTCCTTTGTTGCACTGTCAGCTCTTCATTTGTTCTGTTTGTGTTCCCTTCTTCCCCAGGGCTTCGGGAATCTGCCCATCTGCATGGCCAAAACACACTTGTCCTTGTCTCATAATCCAGAACAGAAAGGCGTGCCCACAGGCTTCGTCCTACCCATCCGTGATATCCGCGCCAGCGTCGGGGCTGGTTTTCTGTACCCCTTGGTAGGATCGGTGAGTGCTGTCGGCAGAGAGGGGTGCCTGTTACCTGTGCTTCTCATCTGAAGTTGATTCCTAAAGCCATCAAGCAGTGGCAGTTGAGCAGAGTTCATTGCTGAGGAGAAAGTGGAAGTCAGGCTGTTAAGATTAACCCTCTTGCTGTGGGACCATCTTGGTGTCAATTCAAGGAGGATGCCATGACTACTGAATAATAGTTCTGCTCCCCAGAGGCAGTATGACCTTGACTGAATCCAGGAGGGGCCTGATTGAGAGGCTGTGGTAGTGCTAAAGTATAATCACAACTGACATTTATTGGGCGCCTGCCACAGATGAACTCAGTCCTCCCACCAGCTCTGCTTGGTGGGGACAGAGGCTTTGCACCTTCTAGGTCTTCTGGACAGGTCAAGGGCTTAACACCTGAAATTCAGAGGATTCTGTATTTTTTTTTTTTGAGTAAAGAATTCCCCTCTTGCAATGTGATCAAATCCTATGGATGTGAAAGGTGAAGTTGCTTATTTATACTTTAAGATGAATTAACAAATGCATTCTTAAGGGTTTTATGCATATTACAGGAGGAATCGCTGACAGGTAGAGGAGTGCTTATGGACATAATCACAGTTTGGATTAACTTTGTCCTAGAACTGATAGTGATCCTGTGCCCAGGTTTCCCCCTTAGATCCACCCAGTATCCTGTATCTGCAGATTGTGCTTATATCTGCAATACAGAATTAAAATATCAGACTAAGCCAGTACAGCCTGTTGGAAAAGAAACCAATAGATTCCCATTTGTAGCTGTTACTTCAGTATAGTAAGAAAGTGGTAGGAGGTGGCATAGAGTCGAAAGGGCATTAACATTCAAGCTGGATCTACTTTTCACCTCTGCTGATGTTTTGGCCTTGGGCAAGTTACTAAAGATGTGGGCCCTGCAGCTCTGCTCTCAGTGCAGGAAGGTATCGTCACGTGACATGGTAGGCAGTCCAGTGCCCCCTTGGCCGCTTTGGCAAGCAGGAGGCATAGCTTTGATAGGAAGTTCATCAGTCCTTGGGATTTATAGAAATTCCCTTTTAATAGGAATGTTAAACCATTCACCTTGAATATAGCAGAAATGTGTTCTTCCTGGAGAAACTGTCAGCCACTGCCAGCGGAAAGACAGTAGCTGCAGTCTTTTCTTGTCACTTTTGATGTGTGTATGCAGAGGGGTGTCTTGAGAGATCAAAGCCAAACTGAGTGGTCAGGCCCCTGAGCTTGCTTGTGGTTTGGGGAGACACACATCTTGCCCAGCTCGAGACTTTCTCATCTCGAACAAGCTCTTGGATCAAAAGCCAGCCTGGGCCAAGCCATTTCTGCTATAGTCTTGATGGCTTAACAATCACTATTCTTAATGCCTCCCATGGCTGTTGGGGCCTTAACAGGGCTCAGAGGATTTGATTACTTTATATGTTAGGTCAATTGCGGTGGCTTCAGAGTTTAGATTTAACTTCATACACATATGTACATTTAAATTTTTTTTCTGATTATCGATATGGCCAGTGTTGAGCAGGGGGAAATGGCCTCTTTGGGAAAGAATAGAAACACTGAAACTCATACTAATCACTCTTTTGAAGATCACCTTTAGAGCTTCTGCTGACATGCTCATGCATCAGTGGGCACATGTCCTTTATCTTTATAATGTCATCCTCAGGCTTTTCTGGCAGGTCTGAGGAGCAATTCCGTCCTTTCCCCTACTTGTCCCTTTATAAGCAGTTGCTTATCTCTTACAGAATTCAAGAAGAGAGACTGACACCAGATCCCTGTAGTATTCTTCTGGGGGTATTGATTGGCACTTGGATGTCAGAATTAAGTTGTCTAAAGTATAGATGTTTTTTGTTAGAGAAGGTGACTCATCCTTTTCTATGACATTTTTACAGTTGAGTTGTACGAGTTCAGCTCTTTGCCTGTCTGAATCTGGTTTGCAACTTGTGTGTTTTATCATACAGGACATTGTTACAGATAAAAATATACTGAGTTTTTACTTAGAAATCTTATAGATTTGTGTTTAAATAGATATATATCAAAGCCAAGTCTTTAGAAAAGAAGCAAGCGCAGATACAACCCATTAGCATTGCAAGTTCAGCTTTAGAAGGCCAAATTGGACCAGTAAGAGTAGTGATTGCAAATCCATCTACATTATGTACAGAAATGTCTTGGCCCAAGTTGACAGATACTAATCCTAATGTATTGCTGAAGCGAAAATAACATAGGCATCTCTGCACTACTCGGTAAAGCAAAATTAAAAAGCAGACAAGCCCTGTGCCTCCTTTTTGTCTCGGGAGGAGAGTTGCAGATGCTCAGCCTCCTCAGCACCTGCCGCGGAGGGTGCAGGTGGAAGGACCCCTCGTGGCTTCTAGTTGCAGCTGTCAGTCTGGAAGGCGACAGTGCAGCCTGGTATTTGGTTTGCTGAAGGACATGAGGGTTTCTGTCTGAGGTCATAACAGGATCAGTGACTTGATTTTTAAAATGTAACAAGTAGAGTGGCACTTTATTGACAACTATAAAATAATTATCTTTGTGCCTTGGGCTTTCTGTCTGCAGAGAAAGAGGAAAAGGTCACTTTAGGTTTATTTTTAATGCCATTTCACATCTCCTAGATGAGCACAATGCCTGGACTCCCTACCCGGCCTTGTTTCTATGACATTGATTTGGACCCTGAAACTGAACAAGTGAATGGGCTGTTCTAAACAGGTAAGTTATTAATGATGAGAGTTTTGCTACTTTTTTCCTTATGAGGCATATTTATAAATTATAAAACTCCAAATAAAGCTATGAAAATGCAAATTCTAATACTTTCAAAACATTTCTTTCCAGACATCACTGGGGGTAGAGGGGACAGTAATGAGAAGTATCAGCAGCTCATGAATGAAATATTTATATTTCAGCACCTTTGTGGAAGAACAGCATGGTGTGCACAGGTGGCAGTGTAGGGGAGAAAACTGCTGTCTAATGAACTATGGAGGGTGGCAGCAGAGGCCGGGCCTCATCTGCAGGAGCTCCAGGAGGCTCTGAATTCCAAGTTGATGCCACATGGGAGGGTAGGAGCTGCTGAAAGTCTGTGTACTCTGGGGGGACAGCTAGCACTCAGGAGTTGGGTAAATGTCCCAAAAAGTAGAAACGACAAGGAAACAGGACCAGTCCAGGAGTTCTTGGGTTCTTAAGTAAAGGGCCCCCAAGTACCCACTACAGTGAATGAGCCATTGTTAGACACATCCATTATAAATTTTTAAAACGTCAAAGATGAAAATCCTAATAATCCCTCTCCAGAAAAGAAAAAAATGGCTTGCCTGTGAAAAATTGAGAGTTATATTGAGCACCTTATAGGCAATAGGCAGTGAAGGAATACCCTCCACGTTCATGGGAAAGGCGACCCTCCATCTGTATTTATACCCCACCAAATCTACCCAAAGGTTTTCAGATTTGTACAGGTTTGCCACACCCATGTCTTCCTAGGAAGGTATTTAGCACTGTACCACTGCAAAATGAGGAATAAACTGAGAAAGGAAGGCATGGTTTTCAGGAAACCCAATCCTGGACAACAGTGCAGGGGAGTCCTGACTGCAAGTGACCTAGAGTTACAGATGCAGTGTGCCCCAGGAGGAGAGATGGATTGCAAGGACTTGGAGTTATAAAAGATGGGTTTCAAGGGTGAGAATGCAAAACAAAAGCTCTCACATTGTCTCAAAAGGTCCAGGTGGAAGCAAACTAGTCATCATCTGAGCAGGTATAAGCATGGTTGCTCACAGAAGCGACTGCTCAGAAGGAAGAGACTGCTTGAAGCTGAGGGAACACTGTTCTTCAAGAGGACTCCTGTGACATTGGAAATGTCATCCTGGCTCATGCTTGGTCTGGCCTTGAACAGTATTCACACAGCTATAGTGTAAATGTCCTGCATTGTGTCCAGTCTGGACAGACCCTGGGAGAGCTAGCTGTGGGGGAAGATGTGAATGCTCACAGCTTCGGCAGTGGGAGAGAGTAACGCACAAAATGGAAAGGAAGAGGAAATGTTTCAGCTCTTAGGAAAGACATTTATTTTCTTGTTTCTTTTTCCTTCCAGATTGTCCATCTTTAAGAAACTACTTTGAAAGTTTGGTCAGTGTTTGTTCAGGCCATCTGTCAGTTAGGAAGCCCCTGCCCTGAAGATCATCTGAAATAAATAATGAAGCTGCCTTCTTCATAAAAATGAAGCCTTTCTTCAGTGTTTATTTTCATCACCATGTATAAATTCACATAAATCATGCATATGTCTGTTCACTGAAGCTCCACAGAATAAAAGGAAATAAATTTGCTATCTCGGTGTTTAAATATTAATTGTGGCACGTTGTGGCACGAATAGACTGAGCTGCAGTGTCTCTGGTGGCCTGTGGGAGTCCATCTGCTGGGCAGACCCAGGGACTTGAGAAATAGGTTGCAGTATGTACTGTATGATAGTGATAGATTTAAAGAGGAAAATGGCACGTGCCTGAGTATTTTGGGGAGACCTCCATTTGAGACGTGGGGTATGGAAGATGTCTTTTTATTGTAAACTTTCTATATTGCTGGGAAAGTATTACTAATAATTGTTTTTGTTCTGAACTTCCTTGGAATTCTTATTTCTGTCCCCAGCTTTAGCACCACTTTTAATTCCCAGGAAGGATGGTCATACAGCACTAACCATAGGTTAGCCGTTTCTGCTCTGTTGGTTCAGCAAATGTTGTTGAGCTTTTACCATGTGCCTGGGCTCAATCCCTCCCTACAGAATGTTTTTTCCTTCAAGTGTTTTCCCTTCTCTTGTTCTTTATCTTCTGGTTTTCCTCTCTCATCTTTTCCTCCCTTTACCCCCTTGTCTTCCTGCACTGGATCCTTCCATAAGTTATGGCATCACCACTAGTGCCAATGCTAAGTGCTGCTGGCACTGGCAGTGTTTTTCCTGGTGCCTTTGGTTTTACTATTTTTAATCCCCTGGATCCATATCAGTGTTGTGATATAGTCAGTTTTGCAGTTCACAAAAATGATGGCAGTGCTCGGGGGGGTGAATGGCCAAGCAGTCATGAGGGCAGAGCCTCAGCCCCACCATGCTTTGTATGGTGCCTGGTAGGTGGTACACACTCTGAGGTGTCAGTTCCTGTTCCAAAGCATCATTTAGGCCCTGTCTGCACAGAGCTCACTGTTAATTGATATTTTTTCTTGTAGTGTCCTATAAAACCTCATTTGGAATTGGACATGATATGAGAATTCAGTTTATAAACAAGGGAAGAAAGCAGTCTATCTCTAAGGATTCAGGCTTCCTCATACCAGTAACCACCATGCAGGTTTAAATACTTAATATTGCTAGGACTAGTGAATACATTGTGGGAGGGAAATGTTATAAGCCAAAGATTATAAACAAAGCCCCAATGCAGTAAGTAATCCAAATTGTTTTTACCAGGTATTGCTTAGAATGAATGGACCATTGCTAAATAATTTTCCTAAATAGAAGTAAAATACGCTGTCAGTAAAATTTCTAACAATACAACTTGAGTTTTCAACTTCACAGTACATCTGAAGAGACCTTACCACAGCAGTTTGAGGTTCATCTTGTTTCTTATGGCTGGGTAGTATTTAAACAGTCTTCTCTCAGTAACACTTAACCATTGTTTCATGGTTTTTGCTGTTGCAAATAATTGAGCAGTAAATGTTCCTTTATCATAGGTATGTTTTCAACTTAAGTGGAAGCATCTATTGGATAAATTCCTAGGGGTGGAATTGCTCAAAGAGTGACCTCTAGCTTCAAAATGAGAGCTGACATTTGGTTGGAGATGTATAGGGATAAATTATAATAGAACAGGTCTGTAAATTAGGTTTTTATCTCCATGTTACAGAAAGGCAAACTTCAAAGTTGCACTGCTACTGCCTGCCAGATGAACTTGTTAAGGTGATCTGACTCGAAACCCTCTGTACTTCACCATCATTCTGCCTGTCTGAGCTCATCCTAGAAGGCAGCCCCTGCCAGGTCGTACAGAGATGGACCTCCTATTTGTGACAGCTGGACAGCTTCACCCATTTCCTATCCCTTCAGAAGGAAGGGATGATAAGTGGAAGAAGCAGAGGAAAGAAAGACGGAAGGCTGCTGAGTAGTTACTGATTGTATGAGCTTTGTGGAATTGAGTCTTCAATCTGTGATAAGTTGAAGGCATAAAGGGCAAAAAATAACTAGGCTAATTGGAGACCTACAGCAGCATTAGTGCTTGAGGTGCATATTATTAGCATGTGTTGCCAGAAAAGGTCCAGTGTCTTCATCTTGGGAGGAGGAGTCCTTCCAGATGACTGGCTTCCCTGACCCCAATCTTACCCTTCTTTAGTTCTCATGCCTTCCCTCCCCATAGTCATAATGTTGATAAACACACTGCACCTTCTCTGATCTACATCTCAGAGGTTGTTGGCCATGTACTGAAGATGTATATACACACTTAATCCAAAAGAGGCAGCATTTACGTGCTGTAAGTAAACAGACTGCAACAGAATTACTATCAAGTTTTGTTGGCTGGTGCAACCCTGATGGTGCCTAGGAACAGATCAAACCACCAGAGAACTGGGGCCACAGATTTATTTAACAGGGTATCAGGGAAGGGAGGTAGAAGGTTCCCAGAAGGTCTCTGAAATGTTAGAACTAATTGCCAAGGCATTATGAACCATTTTTGGTAGCTAGAGGCTCAGGCTGTGGGTGGTTAGCCACTAGGATGTGAGAAATGGTACAATCAGTAAAGAGCACATAAATATGAGTTCAGATAAACTTGCAAGCTGTTATTGGTGTACTGTGTCTGGTGATGTTAACAAGATAAGCCGTAGGTAGGGTAATTTCTCATCAGATTGGAGAGAGATATATATAGCCTGTTTCTCATTATGTAATGAAAAGCTGCTAATGCAGAAGCAGACAATGATATGGGTAATAGCTTACTGTCACTTAAGTGTGTTCAGGGATGACAGGATTCTTTCATGATGAGGTTCTGAATACGTTTCTTAAAGCTCAGATAGGGCATTGGTTCTAGTCATATCCTAAAGAAAAATCACAGTGCAGTATTCTATTTATAGTACTATACTCTGAGTGTGTGGTGGAAATCAGAGATGAGCTATTTGTAATACACCTTAAATTTGTCCTTCAAATTCAAAATCAATTCACTTCTTCCTCAATCTACCCTTTGGGTCCCTCTTTCACTGCTTTTTGCTTAAGAAAAGCAAGTTGAATAAGATCTACAAGTCATTAAGGTGGCCTTTATTGTTTTAACCTTTCCCTTTCATTTCCAACGACTTCCTAATAAGACAGCTATTCTCCCTGTCTTCAACTAGATAATCTTTTTTTTTTTTTTTTTGGCTGGAGTTGTTGCTGACTCCCAGGTTGTTCAATGTGGGGAAACTTGGATCTCAATGAGTAAATGCATCTCAATTTGTTATGAGTGTCATGGATTTCTTTTGGCTTGTGAAGTTCAAAGCTGGCAGTCAGGGTTAGCAATCCATCTGGGAATATAAAAAGGTACTTGCACAGACTAGTGTCTGCTGAATAAACAAAGATAAAATGGATTCTTAATTCTGACTAAACTAGATGCTTATAGATTTTCTGTTTCATAGCTCCTGTCTAACTTTTAACTGTAAATTTAAGATCTTGACAAATGAGATTCATCTTTGCTTTTGCGTCCTAATAGTTCTTTCCTTATTAAGTCTCAGTGGAAACTATAGAATCTTACAAAGGTAAAATATTCCTGGAGAAACATCCAAAAATGGATAACTGAGATTTCCTCTCCTAAAGATCATGATCCTAGTAAGGAAAGAAAGCACTACTCCTTTTCAGTAGTTTTTTGCTCCACCTTAATAAATTCTTCATCTGGATGCCTGCCTAGGAGGGGTCAGAGGAAGAGGTAGGGACTGTGCTTCCTGCAGGACCTCTCAGCTGGAGCTCCCAGGAGTGCCCTGGCAGGTAATATTTAACCCAAAGCGAGTCACTCTCAGTCTTCACAGCAACACTTTCATTGATGTTAATGAAACCAATGCACTATGTGTACAAGTAAATGTTCGGGGTACTTTTTATTAAGGCTAACAACTTGCTTAGATACTCAGAGAATATATGAAAACGCACAAGCTGCCAGTCAAGCACGAGGGTAGATGTTGCCTGTGCCATTTGCTCTGACTGGGACTGTAATTTTGAGAAAAGCTGTCTCCAGTTCTCTCCCTGCCAACCACCTTCCCCGCGACCCGCACCCCCACCCCCACCCCCGGCTTAATTGAGAGGGATAATTGAGAAGTTAAGCAGGCATCCAGGAATATCCTAGAGGGAAACGTGGATAACTTGTAGGCTACTTCAACTTATTCTTGTAAATACATATGGTATAAAAGATGGTTGGAGCTAGGTTCCTGTGCCCTTCTGACCTCATTTGCTCACAGGGTGTACATCTGTATCATCTGTCCTCTAGACTAGGAAGACAAGGGTCTGGGGCTCAGCCTTCTGAGATCCCATTTGACAATGAACCATGATAACCTCATTACTTGATTAGATATTCAAGAGAATACATGAAAACACAGCACATTACATCCAAACCCACTATTGGGAAAGTTCTGGGGTTTTTTGTTGTTTCAATTCATATATGTAAATTTATCTCCAAACAAACGAGATCTCAATCTGCACAGTTTCGAATCCTACTTTTAACACGTGGTAGCTCCTCTGTGCCTTTAAATATTCTGGGTTGGTGGGGGTGAATTTAAAATGGGAATGCCTAGAATAGTTTTAAACCGGATTTTGCTACCTTGCGTCTCGCTTGCCTGGTCCCCTCCACAAGTACCGGCCCTCCTCGCGGTGGTCCGCCGCCCTCGCCCGAGCGTGGGGGCACCGCGGGGATTGGCGCCTACAGGGGGCGCGCAGCCAGGCCTCCCGCTCCCCGCGCCCGGCCCCGCCCCGTGCCCGCCCGCTCCCCGCGCATTGGTGCCGCCGGCTGCCTGTCTCCGCGCTCTGGGGAGGGGGCACCGCCCGGCTGCTGTCCCTCTGCAGAGGGCTGCTCGCTCCGGTTTCGACCGTGGCTTCCCGGCTGCCGGGGCGCCCGGGCCCGCGAGCGCTCCCCCGACCTCGGCAGCAGGGTCGGCCAGGGACCCCGAGACCCCGCAGCCCTTGGTAAGCGAAGGACAGCTAGGAGGTTGCGGGGGAAGAGTGTCGGGGCCAGAGCCTGGTCCAGTGACCACGTGCGCGGCGGAGTGGGCGTGAGGTGCGGGCTGGAATGCGGGTCTCCCAAAGCCGGCCGGGGTAAGAGCCCGCAAAGTCGTTTGTTCGCAGGGACCCTCCAGCCAGCGCGACCCTCACCAGCTCTGCTCATCTACCCTTTTGGTATTACAGTTCGATCTAGAAGCATGGGTTGCTTTTTTCCTTCTTCATCCTTTTCTTGGGGAAACGCGATTTGGGTTCCTAGCCATTATGACTGTGCTTGAAGCTGGGTTATCTGTTCCACGCCCCCGGCACTTTCCTTTTTGAGTACTTTATCCGGCGCTCTAGCTCCTGCCAGAAGGCGCGTGGAACCAGAATGAGACGCCTTCCTCTAAGAGGAAGCTTCGTGGTCCACATCTGAGCTGGGAGAGATTCACTGCTCTTCTCGGGAAGTGGTTGGTCTTTGCCTCCGTGCTTCTGTGCTCAAGGGAAAAAGAGAAGGGGTATTTTCTGTGACATGTCTTGCGATTCTGTCAGGAAATGACAAGAGAAATTTTAATGTCAGGAAATTTTTAAGATTTCTGAGGCAGTAAAAACTACCCTTGCATGTTAAGGACGAATCATTTGCAGTCTGACATTCTGCAAAGTTTTAATGTCTGCAAGACTGCGTTTTCCTCATTTCAGTTAGGTTTTTGTTTGGGTGTTTTATTTCTACAATGTGATATTATGCAATCAAGTGAGCTTCTCAAGCAGTTGTCTTTGGGCGGTACAGGTTAGCTTCAAATGATACATTCCTAAACAATCTGATTTCAGTATTTCTATTAGTTATACCTCCTCTGGTTAATAAAAACTCTCAGGAGATCATAACTCACAAGAGGTGAAAAGACTTAGAGATCTATAATCAGCTGTGGTTCCAGTGCTTATGGAAGTATTATATAAAGAGGGACCTGTAAGATATTCATATTTTAGTTCCATAATTGTCCTAGGATGACTATCTTTCTGTCAGAGGTGTGAAGTACACAGTGCCTAGCCTAGGGGAACATTTACTTACACCTTAAGCTGATTTTTGGAGTTCCAGTTCCTGTGGTTCATAGAATCAAAGGCAACCCAAAAAAACCTTCAACAGTGAAGGATTTACATGAAAACAGTGCAAGGAAAGGCTGTCTTTGCTTATTTTAGGACATCCATCTATATAGATGATCTCACATCTCTCTTCACTGGTACCATGAATTAATTTTAATATATGCCTTTGTATTTGTATATAACTTCAGTTTGCCAGTTGCATAGATTATCAATTTATATTTTGGGTTTCAAGTTAGTTCTAGAATTAAGAAAATAAAATATGAAGAATTTCAAAAGCTTGATTTAAAAATAGCAAGAACTCAGCCTAGTCTTGAATTATGAGTTGATGGACTTGATTATGGTTAAATAACCATTAAATAATTTAAAAGTGTTTTGACTAGTGAAGCTAGTGTAGAACTGCATCTCCAAACCATTTTTCTGATGAAGCTCTTAAAACCCAGAGCATGGGCTTCAGAAATAGGCAATCTTGGGTTGAATCTGAGCTCTGCTACCTACTAGCTGTGTAATCTTGGGCAAGTTGCCTATCTCTCTAAGTTTCTGTTTCTTCAATTGTAGATGGTGATACCACCACCTGCTCACTTTGTAATGTGGGGAGGACTGGAGGTGTATGTAAAAGTGCTCAGCACTTGCTCAATAAATGTCAGCTATTATTATTCACTCTTACTGACCTTCCTTCCACCATGTGCTCATTATGGAAAACGTCTGCACAGCAGACAGGAAAAAAGTCAAAATTATGTAACTAAATTTAAGAGTGGAGAATGACAGTAATGTTAAATTTCCCAAAGTATGTATGAAAAGTAGCACCTCCTTGATGGAACACACATTTTTAGAACAGAAACCTTATGGTATAACAGAAGAACACTGAAGAGTCAAAAGTTAGTTCAAACTCTGGCTGTAACCTCATCTAACTATATGGCTTTCGGCTGGCCAGCTGCCTGCTCTGGAGCGCAATTTCTTCATCTGGCTGGACCTGAATAATCTCAAATAAACACCAAGATCCTTTGCAACTTCAGAATTCTTTATTACATGTAATAAAAATTACACTGGCTTGCTTATCACCCTTTCATTGTTGTGTTTTGTTTATTAACTTGCAACTCAGAGTCATAAACGATTCATAAAGACAGCACAAGGAAAGACTTGATAAACTAGTATCAGATTTCCAGAGTAATTCAGAATGAAATTTTAACAAAGAAAATGGAGCAAAACAGATTCAAGTTGAAATCTTTTTGCTAAGGCAAAAGTAGATTCACATTGAATGAAACATTTCTGATAAGGCTAAAGTAACCCCCCCGCCCACCCAGTTTTTATTCTCCAGTCATTTCAGGAAGTTATTATATGGGAAACATGCCTGGTTGAATCATATACATTCAACTGAAATAGTCTCTAGAAAACAATAGGCTGATGGTGAAATAAAATACTACTCTCTTTTCTCTCATCAGGTTGACCCTTAAATAAAACAAAAATCTATCCAGAAAAGGGCTTTCGTGAAGAAATTAAAGAAATGAAAGTAATAGAGAAACTAGGCATTTGTACCCTGGAGAAACCACCTGAAACAGCTGTATGGATTGAGACAAAAGGAGTGAATCCATCTGGAAGAAATTTTCCTTAGCATGATATTTTTGCCCACTTTTGTCATAAAAGGCTGCTAAGGAAGAGAGAATATAGTTTTCTAGAGAAAGAAAAGGTGTACTATAAAAATGGAGATGACAGATTCTGAAATTCAAGTTGAAAACAAGGATGAGAAGAGACAAGAAGTTAATCCTCAGGATGAGAGGCAGGAGGAAAAAGCATCAATGCTTTGCTTTAAGAGAAGAAAGAAAGCAGTCAAAGCAACGAAGCCCAAGAAGGGCTCCAAGGCTGCTGATGTGTCAAGGAAGTGTCCCCCAGAAGCAGGCGCTTCTGTTCAGCCACAGCCAGGGGGGGCCTGGGCCTCAGTCAAACGTCTTGTAACACACAGAAAAAGGTCAGCTCCTTCAAAGCAGCCAAAGCCCTCCGAGGCTAACGTGCAACTGGAAATCAATGCTGAGGATGCTGAACTTTCTAAGAAAAGGGCGAAGTCCAGACTTAAGATTCCCTGCATAAAATTCTCAAAAGGGGAGAAAAGAAGGAATCATTCCAAAATTATAGAAGACACAGACTGCAGCCTCAAAGTCCAGGAAGAGGCTGAACGTTTGGATACAAAAACTCCAACCCAGTCAGATGACCGGGCAACGAAAACCAAGTCCACCCAGGGTGTATGTGAGGATGACTCACAGAAAGGGGCTGAGGAGGTCTGTGAATCAAATGTGAGCAACAGCGTAACTTCTCCCCGGGAGAAAGTGATTTCAGTAGAACTTGGGTTCGACATGGGGCATTCTGCTGTTCAAACAGGAACACTAGTCCTTGAGAAAGACATTGAAGTGATTGAGGAAAAACATAGTGTTCAAGCCCAGCAAACAAGCGCACTTGAAACTTCAGAAACAGAACATGAGCTACCAGTGGTTTCTGATGTTCCTCACTCACCCGAAATCCCAGATGAACAAATCATGGACGAAGTCAGAAACAGTATCCAAGAAAGTGGACGAAATCTGAAAGATCATGAAACTAGAGAGTTTGTAGCTGAAGACAGTAAGCCAAAAGATACTGAATTGAGTAAGGAATCAGATTTTAAAGACAATGAAATCAATGCAGAGAAACCCAAACGAGAAGAAAGCAAAAGAATGGAGCCAATTGCTATTATTATTACAGACACTGAAATCAGTGAATTTGATGTTAAGAAATCTAAAAATGTCCCTAAGCAATTCTTAATTTCAATTGAAAATGACCAAGTAGGGGTTTTTGCTAATGATAGTGGTTTTGAGGGTAGAACTTCAGAACAATATGAAACACTCTTAATAGAAACAGCTTCTTCTCTTGTCAAGAATGCTATCCAGTTGTCTATAGAACAGCTGGTTGATGAAATGGCTTCTGATGACAATAAAATAAACAATCTTATGCAGTGACTTAATTTCAAGATCCTGGGAGGGGAAAAAATGCTTAATGATGAATTATTTTATGTATCTGTGCCATTTCTTTTTCAGTAACATGAGAGATTTATCATCTGTGGAATTTAAAGGTACAATTCCAGCCCAGAAGTGCTAAACAATTAATCAAGTTGATAAAACCCTCCATACTACTGAAATGCAGTAACTTCTGGATTGAAAGAAGTCAGTTCCCACTGCAATGCAAGGTGATACATGGGAATTGCTAAAATGGGACATGGAGATTGGGGTGCTCAGGGAAGGAAGATGTATTTATTGAGCACTTGTGGTATGCCATAAACTCTTCAATGTTCCCTGATATCATAAAGCCTGGTTTATTTTAGCAGTTCAATCCTGTGTATAGGTTAACATCATATTCATTTTTCAAAACTTTTTATTTTTACAGTGCACTTTTACATTGTGTAAAATGGTGAATAAGGTGAGCTGCTTTTGTGAATGTGTGATGTATAGTTGTTACAGTCCTAGGCCCTAGTCTTACCTCAAGAAATAACTATTTTCTCAATTTCAGCAGGATGTGCGGAATATGCATATTTGAATTAAATGTGAGTGGTTTTCTTGTCTTGCTTAAGTCCCTTAGAAAAGCCATTCACAAATTCTTCAAGCAGGCTATTAATTACCAAGGACAAAGGTGTGACAATAGGGAGTGCATTTTCCCTTTCCATTTTTCTTCTTCCCCAGACAGACCAGTATAAACTCATTTCTGCATGGGATCACCTGCTGAAAAGGTCAAAACCCAAATCAAAACAACAGCAATAAAATTAAAGAGAGTGACGATGAGACATATTATTTTCCACCCAGAAGGCAAGCTTACCAAGCACCACACTCTTAAAGATGACAGAGGGAGGGATTTGTCTTAAGGATCACTTTTCTAGAGACCATATTCATCAACCTCTCCTTTAAGTGACGAGAGTGGGTTCAAAGCCGACCTGGTAGTAAAAGTCCTAGGAAATCATAATTTAGTGAAAATACTCATTCTTGACCAAGAATGAGCCAAGTACATGGATGAATAGAAAGTGAAAAGTTATTGCTAAAGCACATTCAGTATTTTTATTGTGCCTGTTTGTTGACAGACACTGATAAAAAGTGTTGTACGTGGATATTGAAAATGAACTTCATAAGTATTTTATCCAGCTAATCCCTCACAAAAAAACCTTAATATAACAAGGGCTTATTTGCATTTTATTCAGTTATTTACATTGTTGACTTCATCAATGATTGTTGTATTTTTTGAAGAAGAATTCCATCTTCCTTTGTGTGAAATGGCTGTAACACTAAAACACACTTCCCTACCTCACAGGCTAGGGTTCATATTGTACAGTCCCCCACTTCCAAACTGAGTGACAGTGTTACTCTGAAAGTAGATGGAGTAATAAAGAACTTTCACTGGAGTTGTAAAGTATTTGTTAGAGTATTTGTACATTCTTGGAGAAAATAATGTGCACTAGAAGATTTTTAATGATCTGGTGACTTCTTGCACTATTTATGGATTGCATGTAGATGTCCTAATTTGCTCTACAGAATTGCTTCTTGCTGTAAGTACATATTAAGACCTCTGGCAGAAAAACCTAACTGGACTTTGGAACTGAACCAAATAATGGACATTATTAGCCAGCTTCTTTCTGAAGTGCAAAAGTATTCCCAAAGCCTTTCCTCAAGGGAAAATGTGTATAACCTTGGGGAGAAAAACCCTCCCAAACCCTTTAGTTTAGCAAAATAAAAAGTGGCTCTTTTAAAACATGATCCAAGAAATCCATTTACTTTTAATCAAAACATTTTTTTAAAAAAGACTGCCAAGTCAGCCTCCTAAAAGTAAAAAAATACTTTTTAATATTAAAAAAATTCACTACATGTGGTGCTAATTAACTTAGCTACCAGCAAAAATCATATTTAAAAGTGAACAATTTAAAAAAAACCTGATTAAAGTTGGTGCATTTTACAGTCTTTTGAAGAATCCTGTGTTCATTTACTGCAAGGATGGCTCAAGCTAATATACTTGCCTTGTAAGTTTTTGAGTAATTTCTCATGAATGAGCACAAAGTAGAACACTTAACCATTACTGAAAAATTTTGGCAGATCTATTTGTGAGTTTTAAAAACATATTAAGTAAATATGTATAATACAATTTTTTTTGTTAAGGAAGTAAACATTTTATCTAGTCCTAGGTTTCTACTTTTTTTCACTGTAGTTTGATGTATATTTGGTTGGAATGTACCATAATTGATTGTTTTTTGTAATGAGATGTGTATTCTACTTGCATTCACTCTTAAGTGGTTTCTCCTTAATCTTTTCTACTGAGAATATCTGGTGAATTAAATAAGGATTCCAGTTTGAAAAAGGAATCCAGAAATTAATTGGTCTCAATCTGCATATATCTGCTACATGGACAAATCCTACTACAATGAATTCTAAGGTGATCCAAATTGTTTTGTTATGAAATAAGCAAGAATTAGATAACCTAGGAGTTTCTCATATTTTAAAATAGTATTTATTTAAAGCAGTTTGACCTTATATGCAAGGCATTAAATGAATATAAATTGGTTTTTATTCAAGTCAACCCTTTGACAATATTAAAGTGATCATTTGAAAGGTAATTTAGTAACTCCACATTTTCATTTAAATTTGCTGTGGATAAATGCTGCTTTTATTGAACATTTATTAATTAGCTGGCATTCAGTTTCTCTTTGAACTCACAAATTTACAAAGCTGGTTGGTTTATCAGATACTAATTTTTTCAGCATGTTATCATCCCTCTTTTAAGAGTCAATTTTTATTCATTTTGCTTTACAACTCATGAATATGAAAATCCTCCTCTATTTGATGTAGCCCTATTCACTTAACATTTTCTCAAAGTACTTTATAGGATACAAAAATAGTACCCAGTAACATTTAAGTAAAAGCAGCAGAAAACAAAAGAACTTTCTAACAGAAATTATATTCCCTGCCACCTCCTCCACCTCAAAGAATAATAAGCATGTGGCACAAATGGAGTTCTTCAGGAAAGCTGTCTGCATAATTTTCTTTCAAGATAATCTATTTGACAGTACAAAGTTTGTAATCTTAATTGGTCTACTAGTTAGTGGAGTTTTAGAAACTCTCTGATTTATTTCTGAGAGGTTTTGTTATTTTGCCAGTACATGTGAATAGCCTTCCTGCTAAAGGCTTTTAGAAATATGGATCATGAAAGGGCACCAGTCAAATCTGGCTTCTACATGCAATCCAGAGTTAAATTCAGAAATTTCTAGCTTCGAGTTGCCTTATTTTTTATAGTTAAGAATCTTTTTTTCAAGATTGACAGCAGAATTTTAAAAATAGTTAGGCTTTAGAACCCTATTGTTTAAAAAGATCATTTTTAATTGTCCACTTTATTCAGATATGTAAATTCTACTTTCTAATTTCATCTGATATTCAATGAATTAGGGTTGATTTTTCTGTTAGTCATGCATTTTTAAAAATCCTTATTTAAGGTTGAGAGTTCTTTAGGTCAAATTCCTATGATATTTTGCTATGTAACATGAACTTTCTTATACAAATTCAAATTTTCAGTGAATAGTACATTTATGTTACATTAAAAAATTTTTTTGTAATAATCCATGTATAGTTAACAAAAATTAAACAGAAAGAAGCTACAGAGAATTTAGATGTCCTTATTAAATTCAGTTTGGTTCAACATGCATGGGATATAACAAGCCAAACATTCTTTGATAAAGGGGACGGACAGGCTCCCTGCCCTCTAAGAGGTCAACCTAGGGAGCAGCAGCCACAGGAACTGGGACTGGGGTTCAGGCAAAGAGCCACAGGCAATGCAGCATGAGTACCACAGAGGGGAGAATCAAAAGAGAGCAAGTCATTTTGCCTGGTGTGGGCAGGTGATCTTCTCTATATAGGGGAAGTTTGAAAGCTCTGTTACTAAATAGTGTATCTGTTCTGATTTATGAACAGGTGCAGAAAAAAGCCTGCATAATGTTATATATTTATAGTAGTTCTTTGTCTGTAAAAATGTTAAGTAGATGAGCTATTATGAAAGTAGAAGTTCCATTTTGTATTTTTCATTAATATTATTGCTATATTACTATGGACCAGATACTAATACTGAATACGACTCTGTAGAAAAAGGTTTCAACCTGAATTAATATATGTGCTGCCTATTATTACACAATAAATGTTATGTTGGCTCATGTTTATTTATCCATATCTTTTCAGAGAAACGTGATATATTACATTTATTTCCTAAACTATAAAGATCACACCAATGAAACTACTGAGTTTGCACCAGCAAGAGTTCCCTGCTGATTGGGTGTTGGACAAACTTTACAATGATGTGCCTAAAAGAGCCCACCTCCAGCAAAGAGAAACACAAACACCAGAATTTGAATTCAGTTTCACTGACCTAATTCCCTCTAAGGGGCAATTCTGACTTTGATGCCATCTATCACTTCGACAGAAGTGTACTTGTTTTCATCACCTCTTGCTATACTCATTGTCTTTTCTACATTAACTGATGAATTGTCAATCTTTATGGTTTTGCTAAATATGCAATCTCATGTGAAAATGCTTAAATTTTCAGATGGTGTCTTGCCAATGGGTTTCAGCCCTGGGCAAGTTCACTATGGATTCAGTGTGCCCAAAGAAATTGACAGCAAAACGTTCTTTGGTGTGAAACGGCTTATTACCCCGCCTGTTCTCCCGGTGGTAGGGTAGGGTCGAGCACTAGCGTCTCTGCCTCCACCAGAGCACTGGGCTGAGCTCTCTATATAGCACAATAATAGCTTATTGCCTAAAGGTGTGGAAGTGGTAGCCTAGCAACAGGCCAGTTACACCAGTTACATCATCAGGTGGTTTAAGTTCAGTGAGGATCCTGGCCATAGGAACCCCAACTTCCCCACACTCCACCCCTCCAGGATTCTCACCTTACAATCTTCATGCTTTCAATCTTCCGCATGGTCCTGTGCAAGAAAGCTGGAGCACTGTAACCAGATTCCACAACAGCAACAGAAGATATCAACAACTTAGAGATAATAACAAAAGTTAAGATACAAGATTTTGATACATGAAACAAAAATTATAATAATCCTCAAGCCAGAGGAGGTTCCTAATAACAAAAATTATAATAATCCTCAAGCCAGAGGAAGTTCCCAATCCACAAAGACCTTAGAGGCGATAAGACACGTTTTAATGACACCAAATAGGCAAATCTTGTCCATCAGGTAGGATGCATGCAAGACAGTTGTCCTGTGATAGGGTAGCAGGAAGGGAGTCTCTTCCAGTAGTATAGCATACTTTTACTCCTTTCTCCATAGGGGTATATATAGTGCTACTGGAGGTGCATGCACTGGCTAGAATGATAAAACAAAACTCCCCAGTAAGATGCTCTTACTTTCTGGCCATTCAGGATATACTACTGTGACCTTTGGCGGCCACTAGGCTGTTATTCCAGGAATACACAGGAGGCCAGCTTCCAGGCCTTGTCCCCAAGGTGCCAGGAGAGCCAGCCATCGGTCCATGTGTCCAAAGGTCCAAGGCCATGTCCACTCAGTGGAGTCTCCGGGGTTCAGTGCAGTTGGTGCTGGCAGCAAGATGTTATTCTGGTGGCCAAACCTCGGCTTCAGTGATTCTTCCTTGGTTTGTACTTGCAGTTGTATAGGGGAGGCAGCCATATGTGTTAGCATGTCTACGGGGCTTAGGGCTCCCTTTCAGGGTCTCTCGTTCAAATGCCATAGCATGGTCCATAAGCAGACTGACCATCCCCGCAGACTACTAGTATCCGGCTTTAGTCTGGATTTTAACAAGCCACTGTGCCTCTCTATCATGCCTGCTGCAGTAGGATTGTATGGCACATGAAACTTCCACTTGATTCCCAGCTGTCGCACCCATTCTTGCAGTGCATGTCCAGTAAAATGGGTGCCCTGATCACTCTCAATCACCTGTGGTCAGCCATAGGTGGCAAATAGACACTCCAGGCCTCTTTTGGTTGTCTGCTGGTCTGCACAACGGGTAGGAAAAGCAACCAGGAGTCCAGTAGCTGTGTCCACACAAGTCATCGCATACTGATATCCTTCTGACACAGGTAGAGGACCAATAGTCTATATGACGAGGGGTATAGGCCCCTTAGCTATTGTCCCATGTTGCTGTGGAACTCAGTGTAAGTCCCTTTTGGAGCACATGACACACCCCTGCCTGCCAGGCTCTACTAACTTCTTCAAAGGTCAAAGGCAAGCCCCACCGACAGACTACAGCCCACATTGCCTTTTGCCTCGCATGCAACAAACACTGGTTTAACCATTGGGCTACATCAGAGGCAGGCTTTTTTCTAACCAACATATCTGGGCCAATTTATCTGCTTCATCATTTCCTGGGGATGCCAGTGGCAAATGACCTGTCACATGGTATACTGTAATTATTTTGGTCTGACCACAGGCGCATTAAGTCTTGCCACAATTCTTGCCCCCGAAGGGGTCAATGACCAACCAGCCAGTTAGCATGGTACTAGGTTGGTAGCCACAGGGTCAAGCCCTGATAGACAGTCCAGCTGTCAATGCAGACAACTATAAGGGAGGGCTCCTGGCTGATCACAAGCTACACCACACAGCCTGCAACTTTGCCCATTGGCTGCTCTTCCCCTCACCATCTTCCATCCACATTGTCTCAGTCTTAGGATGGAAAGCTATGGCCCTCCATTTTGGAGGCTGCCCACGGCTGGAGCCATTGTGTACCATGCACCTTTGGGTGTAGGGGCTCTTCCCTCCCAATAGGGACTCTCTGCTACTAATGGTTCAAAAGCAAGTTCTTCCTGCTTTTTACTAGTATATGTCACTGGCCCCAATAAGCACTGGAGTTCTTCACTCAAGGGGCTACTAGAGAGGGCACTATGCTGTAGGTAAGAACCTCACTTGGCCAGTGTGGGCGTTTCTGCCACACCACTCCTTGGCTTTTGGGTCCAGTCTCGTACCCACCCCAAGATGGGATAGGTGGTTATTCCCTTTATCGAGGCCATTCCAGTGTTGGGTTCTGTAGCCAGCAAGGTGTGATACACAGCAGCTAGTTGTTTTTCTATCAAAGTGTATTGTACCTCTGCCCCTTTCCAGAGTTGTGACCAGAATCCAATATGTTGGCGAGTTTGTTCAAACCACTGCCAGAGACCCCAGCCATAACCATCTTCAGTCACATGAACATCCAGCTCACAGGGGCTAGATGGGTATATCACACTCAAGGCCTGCACAGCCTTGACTGCCCATTTTGCTGTAGTAAAGGCAGATGCACATGTTTCATCCCAGTCCCACCTGACGCCCTTTCGTACCAACCGGTGTAAGGGCTTTGTGCCAAGTGTGGGATAAACACTCTCCAGTAGCCTAGAAGATCCAGAAACTCCTGTAGCAATGCTACCGTTGTAGGGGTAGGAAAGGCCTGGACTTTATCTATAACGGCTTCTGGTATAACTTTGGTCTTACCAGACCAGACGACCTCCAAGAATATGACAGACAAACCAGGTCCCTGAACTGTGGTACTGTTCACAGCCCATCCTTTCTCCTGCAGATGTTGCAGCCATCTAGGTGCTGCACCTTCTAGATCTGAAAGAGAATCGGACGTGAGCATGACATCATCAATATAATGGTACAGCCGCACCGTTGGCAGTTTCTCCCATGTAGCCAAGTCTTGGGCTACAAGTCCATGACAGATGGTGGGGCTGTGGAGGTATCCCTGTGGAAGGACAGTGAAAGTCCATTGCCATCCTTCCCATGTGAAGACAAACTGTTACTGACTTTCCTGCTCAATGTCAATGGAAAATAAGTCATTAGCAAGATCTACCACATTATGGTATGTCCCTAATTCATGGCTGAGGGTATCCATCAGGTCTGCAATAGAGACAGTAGCATGCATAGGGGGTATGACTTTATTCAGTTCTCTGTAATCCAGTCATTCACCAGGAGCCATCTGAGATGGCTTTTTTACTGTCCACACGGGGGAATTGAAAGGACTGTGGGTGGCCTTTATAATACCCACCTTTACCAGCTCCTGGGGAGTTTCTCAATCTCTTTGTGCCCTCCAGGCAGTTTTTATTGTTTGGTATTAGTCACACACTGAGGCACAGGCAAAGCTAAGGGCGGGTGCCTAGCATGTCCCCTTAGAACTGCCTTCACCACATGTACGCTCAGTCTGAACTCACCTGCGGTGGTCTGCAACCACAGACCCTGCAGGATATCAATCCCCCAAATATACTCAGGGATAGGAGATACATACACAGTATACTCCTTTAGGGGTAGACACCCTATTCCCAAAGGGATTTGGGCTTTTTTCACTCTGATAGCCTTCCCCTCATATCCATCAATGATAGTGAGGGTCCCAGGGAACCACTCAGGGTTACCATGAATCAGTGAACATTCAGCCCCTGTGTCCACCACAGCCAGGACACGTTGTATGTTCACTGGGGACCAATGGATAGCTATTTCAACATGTGGCCTCCAGTCCCCCACTGGACCCTCAGGGAAGATACCTCGACCTTCCCCTCAGTCAAACCATGCTCCCCAATCATCTTCCTGTGTGGGCTCAAGTGAGGTTGGCTTGTTCTCCAGCAGGAAGTCTTACAAACACACAGGCTGGACTTGAGGCTCTGTCTCTGACCTCTGCCTCTTTGGTCTTAATGGCTGGAACTGATGATATGGTTTCAGTTGTTGCCATAGCTCTAGTAAGATACTATTTGACTTCCCATCTAATTCCCTTTCATCTGCTCCTGCCCGTATTAAATCAACCCACATCTGGGTCCTCATAACCTTCATGGGGCCCTTTAAATTCTTCTTGTAAGTAGTAGACCTTATTACTTTCTGTGTTCTCATTGCTTCAGCCTCTCCTAAGTCTGCTACTGTACATGTCACCTCACTTATGGGATGCCCTAAGTAAGGGGAAAGAATGGCCACTAGAGACCCAAAGAGGGATGTGGGAGCTATTTGAAGTATAATATTTCTCATCCCAGTAGTGAAAATCTCTTCATCTGGGCTATAATTCTCTGGACTATAAATGGCATTTCTTATGCTTAGCTCTTGTAACACCTGTTGGAGCTCAGCATACATCTGCCATCTAACAGGAGGGGATGGCAGATCACCCTGATTGGGCCACACAGCACGAAGTGCAGCCATAAGCCAATCGAAGAGGGAGTGACTCCCTGGGGTCTGATGTGCATTTTGTAATTGCTGCAAGGTGGGCTACACTGTCAGGGAAGACAGTTTTCCCATCTCTGATCCTGACAGAACAATTCCATCCACCCCTAAGTCCCACAGACACAGGAGCCATGCTGATAATTGACTCCGAGGGCTTCTGTCTAAACTGGGAGCCCAAGCCCACCAGCTCAGCCTATAGGGGGGGACCATAGAGTGCTCCACGACCTGGGGAAGAGGCTGCTCCTCTCCTTGGGGAACTTTCAGCTGCTGGGTCTTTGTTTTCTTTACAACCACTGGGCATGCTTTCAATATAGGAGGGGGGTCAGTGCCTCTGGCACCACCCCTTCATCCTTCCCCAGCTCCTCCATTTCCGGGGCTGATGGCACCTTCCTCTCCCCTCCCCCGAGTGCCTCCTCTGGTACAATCTTTACCTTTTCTACTGTGCCTCGCAGCAATGCTAGCTCAGTCTTCAGCAGCTCTTACCTTCACCTCAATGCTTCACAGCTGGTGTTCTCATGCCACCTCCATCTGTGCTTCCCTCAGG